GTATCTGTTGTACCCCTAGACTTGATTACTATTTTCTTCTCTCTTTTTTTTTCTTTTTGGGTCCCACCCAATGATGCTCAGGGCTGACTCCTGGCTCTGCACTCAGGAATCACTCCTGGTGGTGCTCGGGGGACCCTAGGGGATGCCGGGGATCGAACCCGGGTGGACCCCTGTGCAAGGCAGACGCCCTCCCCGCTGGGCTATCACTCTGCCCCGCCAAAAGAAGTGTCTTGTACACTGAGTACCGTCTGTGTAGACAGTGGAAATGTATAAACTTCAAACTGGGTCCCTAGACATCCATCCATCCTCCCTCCCTCCCTCCCTCCCTCCCTCCCTCCCTCCCTCCCTCCCTTCCTCCCTCCCTCCCTCCCTTCCTCCTCCCTCCCTCCCTCCCTCCCTTCCTTCCTCCCTCCCTCCCTTCCTCCCTCCCTCCCTCCCTCCCTCCCTCCCTCCCTCCCTCCCTCTCCCTCCTCTCCCTCCCTCCCTCCCTCCCTCCCTCTCCTTCCTTCCTTCCTTCCTTCCTTCCTTCCTTCCTTCCTTCCTTCCCTCCTTCCCTCCTCCTCCCTCCCTCCCTCCCTCCCTCCCTCCCTCCCTCCCTTCCTTCCTTCCCTCCTTCCTTCCTCCTGTATGTTCAGGAGGAACATGCAGAATTGTGATTAATGAGCCCTCACAATCCGCCTCTTGTCTAATTCCACCTTTTTCCTTTGTGACAAGTATCCCAATCCGGGCATGTGATCAATTAAGGAGAGTGTCTTCCCCCAAGAAAATACTGGGGGGTTTTCAAGATAAAATTCATCCAGAAAGTGATTCCCTCCTCCCAGATTCCAAGAGAACTTAGACCAAAAAAAAAAAAAAAGTTAAAGCGGATGCCCTCATCTTAAATTTCACGATCACGATCACGATCATCCTGTTGTTCGTCGATTGCCTCGAGCAGGCACCAGTAACGTCTCCTTCGTCCTAGCCCTGAGATTTTAAAAGAGCCATTTCTATGCTCTTTCAGGATTAGGAGAATGAGACCCATCGTTGTTACTGGTTTTTGGCATAGCGTGTACGACACGGAAGTTTGCCAGACTCTGCCATGCGGGCAGGATAATTTTTGTAGCCTGCCAGGTTCTCCAAAGGAAAGATAATAAAATGTCGCACGGCCGCAAATGTGGCTGCACGCTTCCGGGAGCTGGGTTTTATAGTCTCTGTGTCTTGGCCGTTGATGGGACCAACCTGGCACTGGCGGCAGCTGGTGGGTGTGACGCCTACATACTGGAAGATGGGGGGTCTGGTTGGAGAAGGCCCAGTCCCAATCCGAGCAGGCTTGGAGACCTCAGCCCCGGGACCCGCATGCCTGGGTTCCTCTGCCAGTTCTTTCATGCATGAGGCTCATCCGGACGTGTGGAGAGTGGTCCCAGCATCTTAGATTTAAGTATGTAAAATATATAGGACTTTATTTATTGATTTTCTTGTTTGTTTTTGCTTTCTGGGGCCATACCTAGCAATGTTCATGCTCAGGAATCACTCCTGGTGGTGCTCGGGGGACCCTGTGGGTTGCCGGGGATCGAACCCAGGTCAGCTGCATGTCAGGCAAATGCCCTCCTTGCTGTGTTGTCGGTCCTGCCTCAGTGCTCCTTGTCTTATCTCTTCAGCATTTATACTGATCACTCCCCGGGCCCTGGAGAAACTTGAATTTCAACACCCAGAGATATTTTTCAAAATATGCTACTAAAAGAATTTGAAAAGTTGCAGAAAGTAGGTCTTTGGGTCTGGGGATAGGATTTCAAATGCAGAGAGCATGATGCACGCCCAAGGCCCAGGTACCAAATGGTGCCCATGTATCCCTTGGAATAGCCCCAAGTACCACCGACTGTGGTCCAAACCCCCACCCCCATCCCCGCCAGCAAAAAATAAAACTAAAGACACAGTTACCTCTTCAAGACCAGCAGAGTAGCAAAGACTCGCCCTGATTCTAGAGAACTTGGAATCAGACAGGAAACGAGGGACTCAAAAGGAAGGGTCCTCAAAAAAATAAAACCCGGGTTCGATCCCCGGCATCCCCTAGGGTCCCCCGAGCACCGCCAGGAGTGATCCCTGAGTGCAGATCCAGGACTCAGCCCTGAGCATCAAAAAAGACACAGTTACCTCTCAGAGACCAGCAGAGAAGCAAAGACTCGCCCTGATTCTAGAGAACTTGGGTGACAGCTTTGACGCAGCCTCTGTGAGTCATTCCATTCTAACGGGCACCAGGCCTGACGTCATGTTTGACTCACTTGCTGAGGGCCAAGTGTCTGGATACGACTTTATTTATTTATGTAATTATTTGTTTTGGCTTTTTGGGGTCCCACCCGGCGATGCTCAGGGCTGACTCCTGGCTCGGCACTCAGGGATTACTTCTGGCGGTGCTCGGGGGACCCTATGGGATGCCGGGGATCGAACCCGGGTTGGCTGCATGCCAGGCCAATGCACTACCTGCTGTGCTATCATTCCGACCCCAGTTTTTTTTTTTATGTATTGTGTTCATTCAGATTTAAAATAAAATTGAAGGGGCTGGAGCGATAGCACAGCGGGGAGGGTGTTGGCCTGGCACGCGGCCGACCCGGGTTCAATCCTCGGCATCCTCTAAGGTCCCCTGAGCACCGCCAGGAGTGATTCCTGATTGCAGAGCCAGGAGTCAGCCCTGAGCATCGCCGGGTGGGACCCCCCACCAAAAAAAAATGACCGAGCTTCTGAGGTGGACTTGCTCTTGGGCAGGGGGTCAGAAGCCCAGTGTGGAGACTTCGGGGGGAGCGTCTTGCCTTGGCTGATGGTCCAAGGACCCCCTGAATCTCAGGAGCGTGTGTCCTGGAGTGAATCGGTACCCCCCCCCCAGGCCCTCCCCCAAGTCTCAGACAGGAAACGAGGGGCCCAAAAGAAAGGGTCCTCCATCAGGAGGGGAGTTGGGGGCATCTCCATGGCAACCACAGAGCTGGGGGCCCCAGTCAGGTGTGACCTGCCCGGTCAGGTCCAGACTTGACCTTGAATCCCAAACGGCCCAGGGCCTGCCAAGGGCGAGGCCGGCAGGTACCCAGGGAGGGGCAGGAGAGAACAGGGCCTGCTCGTAGGCTCAGAACACCCGGACACAGGCGTCACCCTCCGCACCCCCAGGAAATGTAACCCTGGCCCTGAGGGGCTGGGCTGGAGGGAGGGACGCCGTCAGGTGGGCCCCAAGACGCTGCCCTGCCAGCGGGAGGCCTAGAAGCACTTTCACTTTCTTTTCCGGCTCCAGCTCGTCAGAAACCACTTTTACCCTGTACCCTGACATGGGGGGGGTGTGCACGTGTGTGCGCATGTGTGTGAGTGCGTGTGTGTGCTTGTGTGTGTGTCTGAATGTGCGTAGGCCTGTGTGTGATCATGTGCATTTCCGTGTGTGTGTGCATGTGTTTGCGTGTGTATGCATGTATGTGCTGTGTGTATATGTGTGTATGCATACGTGTGTGGGCACATGTGTGTATGCATGTATGTGCATGTGTGTGCATGCGTGTATATGCGTGTGTGTATGCATGTGGGGGCACATGTGTGTGTGCTTTTGCGTGTGCATGTGTGTGCTGTGTGCGCGTGTATAGAAGTGTGTATGCATGTGTGTGGGTGCGCATGTGTGTATGCATGTGTGTGCTTGTGTGTATTGTGTGCTGTGTGTGCATGTGTGTATATGCATGTGTGTATGCATTTGGGGGCACATGTGTGCATGTGTATGCATGCGTGTGCTTTTGTGTGCTTTTGTTTGTGCATGTGTGTGCATTTGTGTATATGCATGAGTGTGGGCACATGCGTGTGCATGTGTATGCATGCGTGTACTTTTGTGTGTGCATGTGTGTGCTGTGTGTGCATGGATATGAGTGTGTATGCATGTGTGTGGGCACACATGTATGTGTATATGCATGCGTGTGCTTGTGTGTGTGCTGTGTGTACATGTGTGTATATGCATGTGTGTATGTATGTGTGTATGAACGTGTAGGGGTATGTATGTTTGTGTGTGCTTGTGTGTGTATGTGCACACACACCTGTACACATATGTGCTTCTGAGAGCTGGGACATGTGTGGTAATATTTTTTTTGTAATTTTTTGGCCACACCTGGAGATGCTCAGGGGTTCCTCCTGGCTCTGCACGCACTTAGGAATCACTCCTGGTGGTGCTTGGGGAACCCTATGGGATGCTGGGGATCGAACCCGGGTCAGCCACAGTGCCCTTCCTGCTGTCCTATTGCTCTGGCCCCCTGGGTAAATATTTTGAGGAATTCAGATGCTGTACCCTCTGTGTAATACGGGACAGTAGGGATTCATATGTCATCCCGTGCATGGTACAGGATAACAGATGTTCCTACGTGCAATGCAGGCCAGCAGGGACTCCACGCGTGGTATCCTGTGTGTAGTAAGGAACTCATGTGTGATCTGTGTCATGCATATTAGTAAGGAATCCACATGTGGTGCTCATGTGTAACACAGGTCAGCAATGAATTCACACGAGGTTCCATGGAAAGTGGGTGAGTGGTGAGTCCACACGTGACTCCTGTGGACCGTGGGTCAGTGGTAGAACGTGGGTGCGTGGTGAGACCAAGCATGTTCACCATGGAACACAGGAAAGTGGTGAGTCCATGTGTGGCTCCCGTGGAACGTGGGTCAGAGGTAGAACATAGGTCAGTGGTGGAAAGTGGGTGAGTGGTGAGTCCACGTGTATCTCCCGTGGAACATGGGTCAGTGGTGAGTCCATATGTGGTCCCTGTGGGACATGGGTGAGTGGTGGAACATGGGTGAGTAGTGAGTCCACATGTGACTCCCGTGGAATGTGGGTGAGTGGTGAGTCCATGTGTAACTCCCATGGAAGGTGGGTCAGTGGTGAGTCCATATGTGGTCCCCATGGAACACGGATGAGTGGTGGAACGTGGGTGAGTGGTGAGTCCATACGTGATCCCTGTGGAACGCGGGTCAGAGGTATATCCACATGTGGTCCCCGTGGAACACAGGTCAGAGGTAGAACATGGGTCAGTGGTGGAATGTGGGTGAGCAGTGAGTCCACACGTGGCTCCTGTGGAATGCGGGTGAGTGTTGAGTCCACGTGTGACTCCCGTGCAACACAGGTGACTGGTGAATCCACAAGTGGCTTCTGTGGAATGTGGGTGAGTGGTGAGTCCACGTGTAATTCCTGTGGAAGGTGGGTCAGTGGTGAGTCTATATGTGGTCCCCATGGAACACGGGTGAGTGGTGGAACGTGGGTGAGTGGTGTATCCGCACGTGGTCCCTGTGGAACACGGGTCAGAGGTAGAATGTGGGTCAGTGATGGAATGTGGGTGAGTGGTGAGTCCACACGTGTCTCCCGTGGAACGCGGGTGAGTGTTGAGACCACGCGTGGCTCCCGTGGCATGCGGGCTGTGTACTGCCCATCCCGTACTTGTGCAGTTGCGCTGGGGCTGGGCGTGGCCGCCGTGTGCCGTGACCTGATGCCCCTCTGGCCCGCAGTGTGCGAGTGCAACGGCAAGTCCCGGCAGTGTGTGTTCGATGTGGAGCTGCAGCGTCAGACGGGGGACGGGCTCCGCTGCGTCAACTGCGCGGACAACACGGACGGCCGCCGCTGCGAGCGCTGCAGGGACGGCTTCCACCGGCCCCAGGACCATGAGCGCTGCCGGCCGTGCGCCTGCCACGCCAAAGGTAGGTTGGGGAGCAGCAGGGAAGCTTCTGGAACCTGTGGGGGCTGCATCTCCAAGCCCCGAGTCCCGTTTGGGGCGGCCCCCGGCCCGGGCCAGGAAGTCTGACCAGGACTGAGGGGCACGGGTGGCCCAGTGGCCGAGGGTTCGAGGGAAGCTCAGCTTTGATCAGGGCTTTTCCAAACACCTCACAACCCACCAGCTCTGGTGTCTCCTTAGTGAAGCTCCAAAACCCAGTGGAACGACGGCACCGTGGGGAAGGGGCTGGCCTTGCACACGCCCCATCTGGGTTGAACCCCCAGCACCCTGTAGGGTCCCCAGAGCCCCGCCAGGAGTCACCCCTGAGCACAGAGTCGGGAGTCAGCCCTGAGCACTGTCAGGTGTGAAGTCCCACCCTCCCCCCAAAATATACAAACGAACAGCTCCTTCTTTCACCAGGCTGTGACTTTAAAATGGTATTTAATGGGCTGGAGCCATAGCACAGCGGGGAGGGCATTTGCCTTACACACGGCCGACCCGGGTTCGATCCTCGGCATCCCCTAGGGTCCCCCAAGCACCACCAGGATTGATTCCTGAGTGCAGAGCCAGGAGTCAGCCCTGAGCATCGCTGGGTGGGACCCAAAAAGCAAAAAAAAAAAAAAAAAAATTAAGGGCCGGAAAGATGGGGCAGTGGTTAGGGCTCTAGCTAGTCTCCCCACCTCTCAGTGGTCACCCCTTGCAGCAGCCAGAGATTAACCATTTCCCCTCCTCCTCTCCTTCTCCGTCCAGGTGCTCTGAGTGCGCGGTGTGACAGTTTGGGGCGGTGTCGCTGCAAACCCGGAGTGACTGGGGACAAATGCGACCGCTGCCTGCCAGGCTTCCACACGCTCACCGAGGCGGGCTGCTCCCGGGACCAGCGGCTTCTGTGAGTCCCCGGGGCCGACCCCGCGATGCCACTGTAGGGGAGTCCTGAACCCCAATAGTGTCTGGCCACCCCGGGAGAGGGGGATTAAAGGGGTCTGCAGTGAGCTCATGGCCAGAGACCGGAACGCCAAGAACTTCCCACCCGCTTGGCTCCGGGTTCAAGTTCTCACCCTCTCTTTGCACCCTGCAACCTGGTACACCCGCCCCGGTGACCCCCCAGGGGGACTCTCCGTTCTGGTGACAGGCTTTGGGGTTCTGAGGCACCTCGCTGGCTGGATTGGGTGGCTTGAGCTCACTCACCCGTTCTTCTGGGTGCAATCGAGTGCTAGTGGGGTCCCCGGGGTGCCAGCACTCAACTTGGGGCCTGAGTCGGGGCTGCCGGGACTCATTCCCCCACCCACACTTTCTTTTCCTTCTTTCCCAGAGACCCCAAGTGCGACTGTGACCCAGCGGGCATCGCGGGGCCGTGTGAGTCGGGTCGCTGCGTCTGCAAGCCAGCTGTCACCGGGCAGCGTTGTGACAGGTGCGTGTGGATTGGGGCGGGTGGTGCCAGCGAGGACCCCCACCCCAGGGTGCCATTCTGGGGGGACCCTCCTGGTACCCTCTGTTCTCAAAGCCTCAGCCGTCTTGGGTACTTGGAACACAGCCATGGGTCCCTCTTCCGTTTCATAAGCACGGTAAGGGGACACTTACATGTTTGTGTGATACATGTCTCCCTTGAATCTTGTTACACGGGCTGGAGTGATAGTACAGTGGGAAGGGCGTTTGCCTGGCACGCGGCTGACATGGGTTCGATCCCGGCATCCCATAGGGCCCCCGGAGCACTGCCAGGAGTGATTCCTGAGTGCAGAGCCAGGAGGAGCCCCTGAGCATCGCCAGATGCGACCCAGAAAGCAAACAATAATAATAATAATAATAAATAAAAATAATAAAGGCTCTACGGCTGGGGCTGGAACGATAGCACAGCGGGGAGGGTGTTGGCCTGGCTTGCAGCTGACCCAGGTTCAATCTCCCAAGGGTCCCCCCGAGCACCGCCAGGAGTGATTCCTGAGTGCAGAGCCAGGAGTCAGCCCTGAGCATCGCCGGATGTGACCCAAAACCCCAAATATTTTTTTAAAAAATAATATATGGGACTGGAGCAATAGCACAGTGGGGAGGGTGTTTGCCTTGCACATAACTGACCCAGGTTCGATTCCCAGCATCCCATAGGGTCCCCCGAGCACCGCCAGGAGTGATCCCTGAGTGCAGAGCCAGGAGTCAACCCCGAGTATCACTGGGTGGGACCCAACAAAGCAAAAATAAAAAAGTTCTACCAGTATCTATTGTATCTTTGATATTAACTCCCTATCAGATGGGCATCGGGTTAAATAACTTTTCCCAGGCCCAGCCAGTTGTTAATCGGTTAGCTTTAAGCAGTGCGTTGGGATCGACTTTTTTTTTTTTAAAAGCGGGCAGTGTAGCCCACTATGGAGTTATGGAGTGTGTCCTGAAGTCCTGCCCCGCCAGCTGTCACCAGCAGCATTGCTAGGTGTGGCCCAAAGACAAAGCAAGACACGAGGCTGGAGCGAGAGCCCAGCGGGAAGGGCGTTGGCCTGGCACGCGGCTGACCCGGGTTCAATCCCCGGCATCATCCCATAGGGTCCCCAGGGCACCAGCCAGGAGGGATTCCTGAGTGCAGAGCTGGGAGTCAGCCCTGAGCATCACTGGGTGGGATGCCCCAAAAAAAATTTTAAAAAAAGCAAGACACACCTCGAAGAAGGTCGTTCCAGGCATGGAAGTTCCCACTGACCCGACTGATATGCCCAATTTTTTGCAGGTGTCGCCCAGGTTACTACCACCTAGAGGCTGGGAACCCTGAGGGCTGCACCCAGTGTTTCTGCTACGGTCACTCAGCCACGTGCCACAGCTCCGGAGATTACAGCGTGCACAGGGTCAGCTCCACGTTTCAGCAGGGTAAGAGCCGCCCCGGGAACAAGGCCCAGCCACACACATTCAGCCGCCAGGACAATCCGCCGGCTAATCGCGTCTCCGAAAAATGACAGCTGGGGGGTGCAGAGAGATAGCACAGTGGGTAATGCGCTTGCCTGGCACATGGCCAACCCGGGTTCGATCCCCGGCACCCCGTAGGGTCCCCGGAGAAATTGCCAGGAGGAATCCCTGAGCACTGAGCCAGGAGTCAGCCCTGAGCACTGCTGACTGTGCACTTTCTCAGAAAAAAAATTTAAAAAAAACAAACGTAGAGTAGTCTGACATGCTTTCAGCTCCCGAATTTCTCTTTGAACTTCGAAAGTAGGAGCTGGAGAGATAGCACAGCGGGGAGGGCGTTGGCCTTGCACGCGGCCGACCCGGGTTCGATTCCCAGCATCCCATATGGTCCCCTGAGCACTGCCAGGGGTAATTCCTGAGCGCAGAGCCAGGAGTAACCCCTATGCATTGCCGGGTGTGACCCAAAAAGCAAAAAAAAAAAAAAAAAAAAAGTAAAGTGAGTCTTACTTTGCTCACTGAATTAACTCCCAATCCAACAGAACAGAACAGAATGCCAACCACAGCAGAAAAAACTGTCCTGGGGAGCTGGAATGATAATATGGTGGGCAGGGCATTTGCCTTGCACGTGACTGGCCCTGGTTTGCTCCCTGAGTCAGTAGTAAGCCCTGAGCACCTCTGGGTGTGGCCCCAAAACCAAAGCAAGGACCAGAGCCATAGGCCAGCCTATGTTTTTTGGTGTTTGCCTGGCACGCGGCCGACCCGGGTTTGATCCCCGGCATCCCCTAGGGTCCCCCGAGCACCGCCAGGAGGGATCCCTGAGTGCAGAGCCGGGAGTCAGCCCTGAGCATCGCCGGGTGGGACCCAAAAAGCAATCAATCAATCAATCAATAAAGAGTGATGAACCAGGGACCTGAGCAATAGCACAGCAAGGAGGGCATTTGCCTGGCACGCGGCTGACCAGGGTTCGATCCCCGGCATCCCATAGGGTCCCCCGAGCACCGCCAGGAGTGATTCCTGAGTGCAGAGCCAGGAGTCAGCCCTGAGCATCGCCGCCAGGTGGGACCCAAAAAAGCAAACAAGTAAACAAAGCTGGCATCAGACAAAAGTGGATCTAGAGGGGGCCAAGTGATAGCACAGCAGGGAGGGCGTTGGCCTTGCACGCGGCCGACCCGGGTTCGATCCCCGGCATCCCCTAGGGTCCCCCGAGCACCGCCAGGAGTGATCCCTGAGTGCAGAGCCGGGAGTCAGCCCTGAGCATCGCCGCCAGGTGGGACCCAAAAAAGCAAACAAGTAAACAAAGCTGGCATCAGACAAAAGTGGATCTAGAGGGGGCCAAGTGATAGCACAGCAGGGAGGGCGTTGGCCTTGCACGCGGCCGACCCGGGTTCGATCCCCGGCATCCCCTAAGGTCCCCCGAGCACCGCCAGGAGTGATCCCTGAGTGCAGGCCCAAGTAATCCCTGAGCCTCACTGAGCCCCTCCAAAATAGAAACGAGATAGATCAGGGGCTGTGAGCAGAGCGGGGAGGGCGTTTGCCTGGCACGCGGTCGACCCGGGTTCGATCCCCGGCATCCCCTAGGGTTTCCCGAGCACCGCCAGGAGTGATCCAAGCGCGTGTGTGTGGGAATGAGAAACTAGAGTCTGCATCCAAGGTCCCCAGGGGACCCGGAGGACCATCCGCGAGTGTAGAACTCCAAAGGAGTTCAGAGTTAAGGCACTCGCCTTGTACCTCACCAAGCCTCATTTGAGATCACCCAGCAGGGCAGATGCTCCTCTGAGCACTGCCAGGCGTCAGGAATAGCCCCTGGGCACCGTGGTGTAGCCCTGACGGCTGCCCCTTAGGACCAGGGAGAGAGTTGAAAGGGCCGGAGCCAGGCTGGCGTGCAAGAGGTCTGGGCTGTGTCCCCACACGACTGGGCGCCCTGGGGTGTAGCTGGGTGTCCCTCTCCCAGACAATAGCAACCACACTTGCTTCCTGCCGCATGCCTGGCCGGGCTCCGCCGAGCTCTGCCTGGCATGCGGGCGGCCCTGTCTGTGTTGCAGATGCTGACGGCTGGCGGGCAGAGCAGGGGAGCGGCGGGCGGGCCAACCTGCAGTGGTCCCAACGCCACCGGGACGTCTTTGCTTCCTCACGGCGGGGGGATCCCGTCTACTTCGTAGCTCCTGGTAGGTGCTCTCTGGGGAGATACTCCCGCTACCTATGATGATGATGATTCTGAAGCGATAGCACAGCGGTAGGCCATTTGCCTTGCACACAGCCGGCCCGGCCGAGCTGGGTTCGATTCCTCCACACCTCTCGGAGAGCCCGGCAAACTACCGAGAGGATCTCACCCGCATGGCAGAGCCTGGCAAGCTCCCCGTGACGTCTTCGAGTTGCCAAACACAGTGACAAGTCTCACAATGTTACTGGGCCCGCTCAAGCAAATCGATGAACAATGGGAGGACAATGCATTATTATTATTATTATTTTGCAGACTTGGAAGAGAAAAAAAAAAACAGAGTTCCAATGACCGGAAAGATAGGGCAGTGGGCAGGGCAATTGCCTGGCATGTGGCTGACCCGGGTTTGATCCTCAGCATCCCACAGGGTCCCCTGAGCACTGCCGGGTTTGCTACTGCCCAATTAAATAAACACACACACACACACACACACACACACACACACACACACACACACACGCAGAATGAAAGGTCAGGGAGCTAGTCAAAGGGCTGGAGCGTTTGCTTTGCAAGCAGGAGGCCCAAGTTAGACCCCGGTGTCGCCTCTGCCTGTCCCCTGACCCTGAACATTACTATTCTGGCCCCAAAAGCAAAAAAAAATCAGAATGAAAAGTCACGTCCCCAGAGGGCAGGAAGCTGGGACTTGTGTCCCATCTGATCAAGTCACCAAGACACAGGCTGGGCCAGAGTGGAGCAGGACCGGATGGAGAAGGTCCGGGAAGTCAGGCTGGAACTTATTACATCATGTAATAAGTACATGATGACAGACGAAGCTTCTGGGCTCCGAGGCTAGGCACGGAGGATGAGGCACATCTGTGGATGTCTTTTGAGGTGACGGCCAAGTGGAAACAGACGCTGCTTAGAGCTCCCAACCCTTGTGAGTCCTAGACAGACACTTTGCTCAAAGGCTATAGACAATGCTAGAAAGCAGAAAGTTCCAGACCATTTCCAGAATGTTCTAGAAGGTTCTGGACCCTTCTAGAATGTTCTAGAACCCCAACCTTGGTTCATATCTTTGCCTCCCATGAGGTTCCCAGGCCTTTTTTTTTTTTTTTGACTTTTGCGAACATCAGCCTGCTGGGTGGAAAGAAGAATCCCGCCTCCCCCGGTGACCCCGTTTGCCATCAACTCTGACGCTGGGGGGAAACATCTGTGCCCGTTAGGCAGCGTGAGGCACTGCACACACACACACACACACACACACACACACACACACACACCTCTAGCCCATCTGGATCTTTCTGGAGCTTGGTGGCGTCGAGCTCAGCTGTTTCCGAGTTGGGGGGCCCTGGCCGGGATCACTGGGGTGGTCTCCGAGGGATGATTTCTAAAAACGGGGGCCATGAGGGTCATCATCCTCAGAGAGGGGCTTGCCGGCCACGAGGCCAGGAGCGTCCACCCCCCTGCATGGCCCCAGACAGGCCCCCATTCAGCGCACGAGTTCCCGGGGGCCGTGGGGGTCTGCCTGCAGGACTGTCCCCCAGGAAGCCACGGGCGCCCGTCCAGCCGGCCACCGCCACCAACCCTGTCCCCTTTGTGCCCACAGCCAAGTTTCTCGGCAACCAGCAGGTCAGCTATGGGCAGACCCTGTCGTTTGCTTACCGCGTGGATCGGGGGGGCAGACGCCCGTCGGCCCACGATGTTGTCCTGGAAGGGGCCGGTCTTCGGGTCACGGCGCCCCTGATGTCCCCGGGAAGGACATTGCCTTGTGGGATCACCAAGACCTACACCTTCAGGTAGGAGCGGAGTCCCGTGAGCACTGGACACAGAGTCCCCTGCCACCCACCCACCCACAGTTCTGTCTCTGCCCAATGCGGGTTTTGCACCGGGGCATGGAAATAGCTCTGAGAGGCCCGACTTGGCCACTGCAAGGGTGCGATCATGGAGAGCTTCCTGGAGGAGGCTTAAAATATACAACTAGGGGCCGGAGCAATAGTATAGTGGGGAGGGTGTTTGCTTTGCCTGTGGCGGATCTGGGTTTGATCCCCGGCATCCCCTAGGGTCCCCTGAGCACTGCCAGGAGTGATTCCTGAGTGCAGAGCCAGGAGTCAGCCCTGAGCATCACCGATGTGGCCCCCAACTAACAAAAAAACAACAAAAATGGTTGGATTTGGGGCCTGAGTGATAGCCCAGCATGGAGGTCGTTTGCCTTGCACATGGCTGACCCGGGTTCGATCCCCGGCATCCCCGAGGGTCCCCCGAGCACCGCCAGGAGTGATCCCTGAGTGCAGAGCCGGGAGTCAACCCTGAGCATCGCCGGATGTGGTCCCAGGAGCCCCCGAAACAAAAAGTCACAAAAATTGGGGCTGGAGCAATAGCACAGCGGGGAGGGCGTTAGCCTTGCATGCAGCCGACCTAAGTTCGATCCCCGGCATCCCATAGGGTCCCCCGAGCACCCCAGGAGTGATCCCTGAGTGCATGAACCAGGGGTAACTCCTGTGCATAGCCGGGTGTGACCCCCCAAAAAAAGTTATAAAAATTAAGTGGTTGGCTTTGAACCCCTGCAGACTAAATGAGCATCCGAGCAGTCACTGGAGCCCGCAGCTGAGTTACTTCGAGTTCCGGCGTTTACTACGGAACCTCACGGCCCTGCGCATCCGGGCGACCTTCGGGGAATACAGTGAGTGGAACCGTTCGGGGGAGGCAGGAAGGGGCGTCGATCTCCCTTCGATGGCCCTCCTGGTACCTGTCTCTGTTCTCTGGGCTCTGAGTTTCCTCACAAGAGGCTAAATAAATGACCAGGAGGGTCTTCACGTTGGGTCTAATGCCCCCGGCACGGTGATGATTCTCCTTGAAGCTCCTCAGAGAGAGAGAGAGCCCCCTGGGAATGAATGAATGAATGAATGAATGAGCCAGGTTTCCTTGCTCAAGGAGTCTCAAAGGGCCAGGACTCATGTTTTGTTTTGTTTTTTCGTTTTATTTTTGCTTTATGGGCCACACCCAGCGATGCTCAGGGCTGACTCCTGGCTCTGCACTCAGGGATCACTCCTGGCAGTGCTCGGGGGACCCTAGGGGATGCTGAAATCAAACCCGGGTCTGCCGTGTACAAGGCAAAGGCCCTCCTCACTCGCTGTGCTCCCTCTCTCTGATTCCAGCAAATAAATATTTTTATTTCTGCATTCAGGGCCACACCCGGCGATGCTCAGGGCTGACTCCTGGCTCTGCACTCGGGAATCACTCCTGGCGGTGCTCGGGGGACCCTGTGGGATGCCGGGGATCGAGCCCTGATTGGCCGTGTGCCAGGCCAACGCCCTCCCCACTGAGCTATCACTCCGGCCCCAAGGAAAAGGGGTTTTAGTCCCACTTTTCAGACTCTTCGTGCCCTGGACACACCACCCGATTCCCTTTCCGCAGTGAAGGCAGGAGGTCAGGAGGCAGAGGGTGACGGAACCCCATGACCCAGCTCAGGAGAGAGGAGCAAGGAACCCCGACTTTTCCAGCCTCCTCGAAGTCGAGTTGCTGGCTGGGTGCTAGGTGTCCTGGGAAGGGACTTCGGGGGAAGGAATATCAGAGACGCGCCTACCTGCCTCTCTCCGGCTGCAGGTACCGGCTACCTGGACAACGTGACCCTGGTCTCGGCCCGGCCCGTCTCGGGCGCCCCAGCTCTCTGGGTGGAGGAGTGTGTCTGTCCCGCCGGGTACCGGGGCCAGTTCTGCCAGGACTGTGCTCCTGGCTACAAGCGGGACTCGGCCCGGCTGGGGCCTTTTGGCTCCTGCATCCCCTGCAACTGCCAGGGAGGCGGCGCCTGCGACCCAGACACAGGTGAGTGAGGGGACATGTGGGATTTGGGGGCAGGCTGGGGGCATGAAGGAGCGAGAGGCCGTGCCAGCATTCATCTCAGAGATGGGGAGGAGGAAGGGCCCTGGAGTCTGCAGAGAGGACAGGGGGTGGGCGGGCAGGAAGAGACTGGGAAGGGCATCCTGTGGGGCTGCAGTTAGGTGCAGGGAGCCCAGAGGGCGTCAGTGTCCGCCTGGCTGAGTCGGGTTGCTGGGTGCAGAGGGTTAAGGGACCTGGTAGGTGTCCCGAGTAGGGGGACAGCAGTGGGTTCGTCCCCCCGTGGAAGGCACATCACTGAGGGGTCTGTGTGGGGCTCGTGGGGGACTCAGGCCAGGGAGGTTCATATGTGGTGTCTGGGTCACACAGATCAACTGTGAATCCGTACAGGGTCCGCATGGGTCTAGGGTGAGTTCACACGCAGTCCTCTAGGACACAGGTCAGGGGTGAATCCACACGTGGTTCCCGTGGGACAGGGGGTCAGTGTTGAGTTCATTCATGGTTCCCGTGGAACATGAGTCAGTGTTGAGTCCACGTGTGGTTCCCGTGGAAAACAGGTCAGTGTTGAATCCACACATGGTTCCCGTGAAACACGAATCAGTGTTGAGTCCACACATGGTTCCCGTGGAAAACAGGTCAATGTAGACTCCACACATGGTTCCCATGGAACACGAATGTGTTGAGTCCACACATGGTTCCCGTGAAACATGGGTCAGTGTAGACTCCACACATGGTTCCCGTGGAACACGAATCAGTGTTGAGTCCACACATGGTTCCCGTGGAAAACGGGTCATTGTTGAATCCACACAGGGTTCCCATGGAACATGGGTCATTGTTGAGTCCACGCATGGTTCCTGTGGAACACGAGTAGAGTACACTCCACACGTGGTTCCCGTGGAACAGGGCAGGTCAGTGGTGATTCCACCTGTGTTTCCCGTGGAACATGAGTTCCCATGGGACATAGGTCAGTGTTGAATCCACAAGTGGTTCTCTTGGGACATGGGTCAGTGTTGAGTCTACGTGTGATTCCTGTAGAATACGAGTCAGTGTTGAATCCACACATGGTTCCCGTGGAACACGAGTAGTATAGACTCCACATGTGGTTCCCGTGGAACACGGGTTGGTGTTGAGCCCACGCATGATTCTTATGGAACACAGGTCAGTGTAGAGTCCACATGTGGCTCCTGTGGGAAAGGGGGGGTCAGTGTTGAATCTACATATGGTTCCCATGGAACACGAGCAGTGTAGACTCCATATGTGGTTCTCGTGGAACACACGTTAGTGTTGAGTCCACGCATGGTTCCCGTGGAACAGGGGTCAGTGGTGAATTCACACATAGTTCCCGTGGAACACGAGTTCCCATAGGACATAGGTCAGCGTTGAATCCACGCATGGTTCCCGTGGAACATGGGTCAGTGTAGAGTCCACGCATGGTTCCCGTGGAACACAGGTCAATGGTGAGTCCATATGTGGTTCTCGTAGAACACAAGTTCCCGTGTTGAATCCACACGTGGTTCCCATAAAACATGGGTCAGTGTAGAGCCCACGTGTGGTTCCAATGGGACAGGGGTCAGTGGTGACCCCCACGTGGCACCCACGTGACGGGAGTGTCTGCCCCCTCTGCCCCTCCCAGGAGACTGCTACTCGGGGGACGAGAACCCCGACGTGGAATGTGCCGACTGCCCCGTGGGCTTCTACAACGACCCCCACGACCCCCGTAGCTGCAAGCCGTGCCCCTGCAACCCGGGCTTCAGCTGTGCTGTGATGCCCGAGACGGAGGAGGTGGTCTGCCACAGCTGCCCCCCGGGGGTCACAGGTACCGCCCCTGCGTTCCCGTTTCCAACTCTCAGGGCCACTGTGCACCCCGGGGGGATTGTCTGACTGGGGCGGGGAGCAACTTCGGGGGGCTCTGCACTGGGATGAACAACGTGTGTCTCCCCTGCACAGAGGTGGAGGGATGGTCCCAAGACGTCCCCTTGGTGTTCTGAGCTGGGGCTCTGCGGGTGGTCCCCAAAACCAGGCCCTGTGTCCCCTCCCCCCAGGTGCCCGCTGCGAGCTGTGTGCCGACGGCCACTTTGGAGACCCCCTCGGGGAGCGGGGCCCCGCCAGGCCATGCCAACCGTGCGACTGTAACCACAACGTGGACCCCAGCACTTCGGGCAACTGTGACCGCCTCACAGGCCAGTGTCTCAAGTGCGTGTACAACACGGCCGGCCCCCACTGCGGCCAGTGCAGAGCCGGCTACTTTGGGGACCCCCTGGACCCCAACCCGGAGAAGAAGTGTCGAGGTAGGGGCATGGCTTGAGGCAGGGGCCAGTGTGTATGTGTGTGTGTGTGTGTATGTGTCTGTGTGTGCATGTCTGTGCACATGTGTATGTATACATGTCTCTGCATATCTGTGCATGTGTTTGTGCACATAGGTGCAGTGTACATGTGTCTTGGTGTGCATGTTTATGGAGATGCATGTCTGTGTGTACACGTGTGTCTGTATCTGCACATCTGTGAAAGTCTGTGTGCATATTTGTATGTGCATCTGTGTGTACATATCTATGCATGTGTGTTTGCATGTATGCATGTGTGACTGTGCATGTGTGTGTCTGTGCACGTGTGTGTCTGTGTTCCCTGCCTTCTGCATATGTGGGGACGCTGTACGTGTGTTCATGTGTGTTCGTGTGTGCATTTCTCACACGTGGGCTAGGCTGTACTGCCTGTGTACACTCATGTCGGTATATGTATAATTGTGCATCACTGAGTGCATGGGTGTTCGCTGCCTTCTGCATGTGTGTGCAGGGGTGAGGACATTGCACCTGTGTTCACGTATGTGCCGTGTGCAGTGCTTATTGTGTGCTTGCATGCACGGTTCGTGAGCATGTATGTGGGCATGCCTGCATGTGTGTGCTGTGTGCATGGGTGTGAATTGTGAGGACACAGTGTGTGTGTGTACTTCTGTGTGTACATTGTGTACTGCAGGTGTGCATTCCTCTGTGTGTGTATGTGTGTGTCTGTTTGTGTGTGCCCGTGTGTGTGTGTGTGTGCGCGGGAACCCAGATGCCGGATGGTTCTTGGGACCCTCCCGCCTAGGGAGTCCCGGAGGCCTCCTCGGAGGCAGCAGACGCTCAGCGCTGACGCCCATGCTCTGTCTTCTGATTTCCCAGCGTGCGGCTGCAACCCCGCAGGCTCAGAGCCCGTGCCATGTCGCCAGGACGGCAGCTGCGTGTGCAAGCCGGGCTACCAGGGGCCCCGGTGCGAGCTGGCGGCGCTGACCAGCTGCCCTGCCTGCTACAGCCGCGTCACCATGCAGGTATGACCTGGTCCCTGCCCTTTGTCCCCATCAGGAAAAAATTATGTGTTTGTGGAGGGGCCCACATCCGGCAGTGCTCAGGGCTGACTCTGGGCTCTGTGCTCAGGGCTGACTCTGGGCTCTGTGCTCAGGGCTGACTCCCGGCTCTGTGCTCAGGACTCACTCCCGGCTCTGTGCTCAGGGCTCACTCCCGGCTCTGTGCTCAGGGCTGAATCCTGGCTCTGTGCTCAGAGTTGACTCCTAGCTCTGTGCTCGGGGCTGACTTCTGGCTCTGTGCTCAGGAGTGATCCCAGATGGTGCTCAGGGAACCATAGCAATGTCAAGGATCGAATATGGGTCGGCTGTGTGCAGGGGAAGCACCTTGATCCAGGAGTAGCTCTTTCTTTAAAATTTACTATAGTGGGAAGGGCATTAGCCTTGCATGCGGAATACTCAGGTTCGATCCCCGCCATCCCTTGGGGTCCCCTGAGCCCACCAGGAGTGATCCCTGAGTGCAGAGCCAGGAGTCAGCCCTGAGCATCACCGGGTGTGGCCAAAAAAGCTAAAAATAAGTAAATAATCAAAATAAAAATTAGATACTATAAAGATTGTAGTAACATAGTAACACTGTTCTAAGTTGAGCTTTTTTTTTTTTTTGCTTTTGTTTTGTTTGGGGCCCACACCTGGCTGTGCTCAGGGCTGACTCCTGGCTCTGTGCTCAGGAATCACTCCTGGCGGTGCTCGGGGGACCCTAGGGGATGCCGGGGATCGAACCCGGGTCGGCCGCATGCAAGGCAAACACCCTTTTCACTGTCATCTCGTTCTGGGGCCGCTCATGTTTTTTTTTTTTTTTTATTTTTTTAATACCGTTTTCAAAACCCTTTGGGCAAATCCCGTCCCGCCCGGCGGGTGGAATGATTTGGGCCGGGGCCTGGATTTTCACAGCACACACAAGAGTCTTGGGGGAAAAAATCTGCCGTTTCCCTGAGTCCCACGGGGCAGGGAGTGAGGAACGTCGACTGACTCCCACCCAGTCCCCGCCCCATCCCTGGCTCTGACGTCCACTTGCTCTTTCTGAGCCAATAGGACACTTTCTCCCTGCCGTGTCCCCCAAGAGATGTCCTTGCGAAACTGAGGGAAGAGGGAAGGACTGGTGCCAGAAGCCGGGAGTCCAGCGAGTGGCCAGTACTGGCCCGGGAGAAACAGATTCCCGCAATGTCTTGTTCGCATTCCAGAGATGAAGGAAGTCGAGACTGGTGTTGGTTAGGACTTGGCTGGAAGGAGGCGACCTGGGGACCAGGGAGGGGAAGACACAGGGAGAAGCCCCAAGTGCAGAGACAGCCTGTTTGGGAAGCAAGTTTTGTTTGTGGGGAGCACACCCCATGGTGCTCCCAGGGCTCCTCCTGGCTGAGGGCTAAAGGCTGAGCCGGATTTGTGACCCCCTGGACTGTGCGAGGGTCGTGGTGGGGGGGTGATGAAATGGATTGCAATGGAAGGCAAACACGCTACCTCTTTTATTTATTATTTTGGTTTGGGGGGTCCCACCCGGCGATGCTCAGGGCCGACTCCTGGCTCTGCACTCAGGAATCACTCCTGGCGGTGCTCGGGGGACCCTAGGGGATGCCGGGGATCGAACCTGGGTCGGCCGCGTGCCAGGCAAACGCCCTCCCCGCTGTGCTCTCGCTCCAGCCCCTTTCCAAGTTGACTTCAACAGATGCCCGAGTGCCCTTTGTTCCTGCTTCATCCCTAAAACAAATCTGAGGGTTTTTTTTTTCCAGTCTAGGGAGTAACTTTTTTCAGGCAGGGTGATGATCCCCATATTTATGGAGCGAAAGAACCACTGGCCCCTGGGTCACAGGTCCCAAAGCTAAAGAACAAAGTAGAAATCTGTAATCAACAAACTACATGCAGAATTTAGAGCTAGTTCCTATCCTTGAGTTCAGTGCAGTCAAAATAAACCACAGGGGAGGGTGTTGGCCTGGCACGTGGCCGGCCAGCCCGGGTTCAATCTCCGGCATCCCATAGGGTTCCCCAAGCACCACCAAGAGTGATTCCTGAGTTTAGAGCCGGGAGTCAGCCCTGAGCATCGCCGGGTGGGACCCAGAAAGCCAAATAATAATAATAATAATAACAACAACAATAATAATAAAGAGGGAGCGATGGCCCAGAGGGGAGGGCGTTGGTCTGGCACGCGGCCGACCCGGGTTCGATCCCCGGCATCCCCTAGGGTCCCCCGAGCACCACCAGGAGTGATCCCTGAGTGCAGAGCCGGGAGTCAGCCCTGAACATCGCCGGGTGGGGCCCAAACTGTCCCCAATTAAATAACTCGCCGTGTCCCTCTGCCTAGTCTCAGTTTCCCCCCGTGTCTTGCAGCTGGACCAGTTCACCCAGCAGCTGCAGGGCCTGGAGCTGCTGGTTTCCGAGGCTCAGGCTGGCGGCGCCGTGCCCAGCGCGGAGCTGGAGGGCCGGATGCAGAGGGCCGAGCAGGCATTAAGGGACGTGCTGGGAGAAGCCCAAGTCTCAGAAGGTGACAGGAGCGGCCGGGGGCGGGGGGATTGGGTCAGGGTCCCGGTTGGGCAGTGGTGGGAGCACGGCCAGGCAAGATCAGAGACGCTGGGTGTGGCTCGGGGTGGGATTGAAGAACCCAGGTGGGCCGCGTGTCAGGTCAGCGCTAACCACTGCCCCATCTTTCCGGCCCCTGGTTGGTGGGCTCTCCTCCCCCACCTGCATTCACTCCCTTCCGCCCCTCCCCTCTCCATGCAGGTGCCCTCCGGACCCTCCATCAGCAGTTGGCCAAGGTCCGGAGCCAGGAGAGCAGCTTCCGGGAGCGTCTGGACGGGCTGCAGCGGGCAGCCGAGCGCGTGCGGGCCCTGAGCGACCAGAACCGGCACCGCGCCCAGGACGCCCACAGGCTCATCGCCCAGCTGCAGCTGCAGCTGCAGGACAGCGAGGCCGCCCTGCGGGGGGCAGTGAGTGCGGGCGCCCCCCCACACACACTCGCAGTGCTCGGGGGGCAGGGGCAGGCGGGCGAACCAGGCACCCTCGGGCAAAGACTCCGTCGGCCAAGTCCTCCTTCCTTCCTTCTCCTTTTACCTCCTTCCTTCCTCCCTTCCTTCCTTCCCTCCCTCCCTCCCTCCCTCCCTCCCTCCTTCCTTCCTCCCTTCCTTCCTTCCTCCCTCCCTCCCTTCCCTCCCTCCCTCCCTCCCTCCTTCCTTCCTTCCTTCCTTCCCTCCCTCCCTCCCTCCCTCCTTCCTTCCTTCCTTCCTCCCTCCCTCCCTCCCTTCCTTCCTTCCTTCCTTTCTTTCCTCCCTCCTTCCTTCCTTCCTTCCTTCCTTCCTTCCTTCCCCCCTCCCTCCCTCCCTCCCTCCTCCCTCCCCCCTTTCCCCTTCCTTCCTTCCTTCCTTCCTTCCTTCCTTCCTTCCTTCCCTCCCTCCCTCCCTCCCTCCCTCCCTCCCTCCTTCCTTCCTTCCTTCCTTCCTTCCTTCCTTCCTCCCTCCCTCCCTTCTTCCCTTCCCTTCCCTTTCTCCTTCCCCTTCCTGCCCCTTCGTTTCGCTCCCACTCCATAGAAATTTATTTTATTTTATTAATTTAATTTTTTTTTCTTTTTGGCCCACACCCGGCGATGCTCAGGTGTTCCTCCCGGCTCTGCACTCAGGAATCACTCCTGGCGGTGCTTGGGGGACCCTATGGGATGCTGGGGATCGAACCCAGGTCAGCCACAGGAAGCAAGCGCCCTTCCTGCTATCCTAACCCACCATAGAAACCCCCCTTTTGGGCCAGAGGGACAGCACAGCGGGGAGGGCGTTGACCTGGTACACAGCTGACCCGGATTCAATCTCCAGCATCCCCTAGGGTCCCCCGAGCACCTCCAGGAGGGAGTCCTGAGTGCAGAGCCGGGAGTCAGCCCTGAGCATCACCGGGTGGGACCCAAAAAGCCAAAAAAAAAAAAAGCATACAAACAAACAAACAAAAAGAAACCACCCTTCTTTTTTTTTAACACCTCCGGACCTAGAGACGGCTTCTGAGCGTGGGTGTCCGTTCTCCTTCGTGATAAACGCTGTTGTTTTCTGGTTTGAGGCCAGGGCCAGGCCGGGATGCTGGCCCAGGCCTGGGGCTTGGACCGTGCGTGTCCAAGGACAGGCTGTTCCGAGCGAACAGATGCGAATTTGTTTAGTGTCCCTGGCCAAGCGCGGGGCCTCAACCAAGACTCGTTCCCACAGAACATCCCCCCCGCCGACCGCTACGAGGGGCCCAACGGCTTCAAACATCTGGCGCAGGAAGCCACGAGACTGGCTGACAGGTGAGCAAGGCAGGGGTCCAACACTAAGGACGCTGGGCACGGGGGTGGGGGGTGGGTGTACGCCTCGGGGATTCGGGAACCCCTTAAGTCTAGGGGTGTCGGTGGGGAGCTGGGGGCGGCGGCAGCTGGGCTGTGACTCTTCCAGATGCCCCGTGAGTCATCGGTGGCCCTTGGGGTCCGTCCCCTGCAGTCTCTCTGCCGGCTGCCGTGAATCAGCGCCTGGATGGGCCCAGCTGCCGGCCGCCTGGGAACGCGCAGAGACAAGCCCTAGCCCTGGCTGTCTGTCGGCAGTTGGGGGCCAGCTTGCAGGGACCAAACCCGCTCTGCAGGGACCCACCCCCGCCCCACCCCCCCACCCCCAGCCTTGCTCCAAGCCCGAGCCCGCTGCCCTGCTAATCCTGAGTGGAATTCAGAACCGGGATTGTTTTCATGCAGGGCGCGGGGCAGACTGAGGGCTTTCCCTTTTCTTTGTTTTTATTTATTTATTTATTTATTTATTTATTGCCTGTTGGTTCCCACCCAGTGATGCTCAGGGCTGACTCCTGGCTCTGCACTCAGGAATCACTCCTGGCGGTGCTCAGGGGACCCTATGGGATGCTGGGGATCGAACCTGGGTTGGCCGTGTGCAAGGCCAACGTCCTCCCCGCTGGGCTATGGCTCCGGCCCCATCCTATGGTTTATTTTGACTGCACTGAGCTCTGGGATAGGAACTAGCTCTAAGTTCTGCATGTAATTTGTTCATTACAGATTTCTAATTTGTTCTTTAGCTTTGGGACCTGTGACCCAGGGGCCAGTGGTTCTTTCGCTCCATAAATATGGGGATCATCACCCTGCCTGAAAAAGTTACTCCCTAGACTGGAAAAAAAAACTCAGATTTGTCTTAGAGATGAAGCAGGAACAAAGGGCACTCGGGCATCTGTTGAAATCACCTTGAAAAGGGGCCGGAGCGATAGCACAGCGGGGAGGGTATTGGCCTGGCACGCGGCCGACCCGGGTTTGATCCCCGGCATCCCCTAGGGTCCCCCGAGCACTGCCAGGAGTGATTCCTGAGTGCAGAGCCAGGAGTCAGCCCTGAGCATCGCCGGGTGGGACCCAAAAAGAAAAAGACTAAAAAAATATATACATATTTCAGCATCTGGAGGCGGCCCGCAACCCCACTCCACTCCAAAAGGCCCCATCCCAATACAGGCTTCTAGAACCTTCCACACGCCAACAGCCCCTTTCTTCCTGCACCCTGTGGGTGTCACGCGGCTGAACTGTGACCTCCCTGCCTTCCCCTCCCCCCCAATTCTTGCTTTTGACTGTCCAGCCACGAGGAGACGGCCAGCAACATAGAGCGACTGACCCAGGAGGCCGACGGCTATTCCCGCCAGGCGCTGGCTCTGGCCCGCCAAGCCCAGCAGGGCAGCGGGGGCGCAGAGGGGGGCCTGGAAGAGACCCTGGTGCAAGGCCTCAAGGGAAGGTACGTACGGACGGGCCCTCGGAGGACCAATCTTCCCCCCCACCCCCGGGTTAACGCACTCACGGCCCAGACGCCTGGTTCCCAGGAGAGGAAGTAAAAACACAGGCCGGAGTCATAGCACAGCGGGGAGGGCGTTTGCCTTGCACGTGGCCGACCCGGGTTCGATTCCCAGCATCCCTTAGGGTCCCCTGAGCAGTGCCAGGAGTAAGTCCTGAGAGTATGAGCCAGGAGGAACCCCTGAGCATCGCCGGGTGTGACCCAAAAAGCAAAAATCGATCAATCAATCAATCAATAAAAATAAATGGCTGGTGTTGCAACTATGAACAGAAATCATGGCCCCACCAAGTCCAGGGCTGACTTGCAAGGTGGCGGGTTGCGTGGCAGCTTCCAGAGGGGAGTGGACACTGGACCCCCTTTCTCCACTGCCCACAGGCTGGAGAAGGCCGAGGCCCGAGCCCAGCAGCTGACCCGAGCGGCGGCCCACGCCACGGCAGAGGCAGACGGTTCTTACCAGCAGAGTCTACGGCTCTCGGAGGAGGCCGCGCAGCTCCAGGGGGCCACCGGCCAGTCGTTCCAGGTGAGAGAAGCCTCTGGGCTGTGCCCCGTGGACGGCCAGCCAGGCACCATAGTGCTTCCTTGTCTAGAGAAAAAGAAAGTTCTAGAAACTTCTAGAAAGTTCCACGACACCCTCATTCATTCAGGCTGACACTGCCTTCTGTGTTGACATTTCTCCTTCTCACTGTTCATTCCCTTGCTCTTTTATTTATTTATTTTTGGGGTGGGGGGCTGGGTTCGGAGTTGAAGCCAGGGGTTACTCCTGGCTCAGTGCTCAGGGAGCACTCCCAGCGGTGCTCGGGGGACCCTCAGGGCTGCCAGCGGTGGAACAGGGGGTTGGTTGCATGCACACAGATGCCCAGTCACTGTCCTCTCTCTCTCGTCTGTTTCTTCATTCTTTATTTCTACCCTTGGTCTCCCTAGAGGGTCCTGGACCTTATCCTGAGAGTGACCATGGGGGGACAAACTTCTGCCTCTAGCTGAGCTCTGGGGTCTGTTGGAAACTCTGGGAAGTTTCTAGACTTGGTTCATTACTGATAGGATCAAAGTTTGCCACCGTTTCTGGAATGAAGAGAGAGCCCAGCAGGGAGGGAGTTTGCCTGGCACGCAGCCGACCTGGGTTCGATCCCCGGCATCCCTTAGGGTCCCCCGAGCACTGCCAGGAGTGATTCCTGAGCGCAGAGCCAGGAGTCAGCCCTGAGCATCGCCGGGTGGGACCCAAAAAGCAATCAATCAATCAATCGATCAATAAAGAGTGATGAACCAGGGACCTGGGCAATAGCACAGCAAGCAGGGCGTTGGCCTTGCACGCAGCCAACCCAGGTTCGATCCCGGCATCCCATAGGGTCCCCCGAGCACTGCCACGAGTGATTCCTGAGTGCAGAGCCGGAAGTCAGCCCTGAGCATCACTGGGTGTGACCCCAAACACAAAACAAACCAATTTGGCATTGTTTCGGCCATAAATTCCTTTAATAATCTAAATTTATTAATTCGGGGGTCTGAGTGAGGAGGCAGCTCAGTTACAAAGCACAGGCCCTGCGTGCAGATGACTCCCGACATTGAGTATGGTCCCCCAAGCACTGCCAGGGGTCACTTCTGAGCACAGAGCCAGGAGTAGCCTCTGAGCACCGCGACTGTGTCCCCAAATCACATCTCCCGCACCCCGCACCCAAATACAAACTCTCAAACCAAATTGAGTACGTGGAGAGACCGCTTTCTACCTCATAAAAAAAAAAGGCATTCACTATGGTTTTCACAAATGTGGCCCATCTTTTTTTTTATTGATTTTTTTTATGAAAAACACCGTGATTTACAAAGTTGTTCACTATCCAGTTGTTTCAAGTATTCATATTTTTGCTTTTTGGGTCCCACCCGGCGATGCTCAGGAATCACTCCTGGCGGTGCTCGGGAGACCCTAGGGGATGCCCGGGATCGAACCCGGGTCGGCCGCATACAAGACAAACGCCCTCCCCGCTGTGCTGTTGCTCCAGTCCGTTTCGAGTATTCAATGTTCCAACACCACCGATGTGACTTTCCTTCGCCGATACCCCGAGTTTTGCTCCCAGTCCCAACCTGTTCCCCTTGGCACAGAACAAACTTACTTCCTCTTGCTTATTCCAGGGACGCGTTAAGAACTGGCAAGTGGGATGATCAGAAAATAAATCCATCAAAGCCCAATAACGATTCCTATATGATTTTGACCTCTCTAAATAAGAACATGAAAACCACTTAAGGCAATTTAATAAAATACCTATCCTCATTTGCACAAATTAGGTCCTCAACTCTGGAACCTAAAGCATGTGACATTCAGTTTTATCTCATGCTTGGGTCTCGTTATGGTAAGAATTGTCCCTCACCTGTCATTCATGGCACTTTTAAAGCAATTCTGTGTTCAGATATGTTGGAGTTTTTATGGAATAGGTAAGAATGTCTTTTTGTTTTGTTTTTTTGTTTTGTTTTGTTTTGGCTTTTGGGGTCCCACCCAGCGATGCTCAGGGCTGACTCCTGGCTCTGCACTCAGGAATCACTCCTGGTGATGCTCGGGGGACCCTAGGGGATGCCAGGGATCGAACCCGGGTCGGCCGCGTGCAAGGCAAATGCCTACCTGCTGTGCTATATTGCCCAGACCCCCAGTTCATCACTCTTTATTGATTGATCGATCGATTGATTGTTTTTTGGGTCCAACCTGGCGATGCTCAGGGCTGACTCCTGGCTCTGCGCTCAGGAATCACTCCTGGTGGTGCTCGGGGGACCCTATGGGATGCCGGGGATCGAACCGAGTCCTTTCGCATGCAAGGCCAACGCCGGGCACAGAGGGGGCGGGTGGGGTCACGAATGCCCGGGCAGAAGTGCCAAAATGCCGACTCATTCCCATCTCTGGCTGCTAGGCGGAAGTGAACAGGATCCAGCAAAGCGCGGACGCCCTGTCCAGCCTGGTGGCCAGGCAGACGGATGAGTTTAACCGCGTGCGGACCGATCTGGGAAGCTGGGAAGAGGCCACCCGCTCGCTTCTGCAGGAGGGGAAGGACTCGAGACAGGTAGGCTGGTCCAGCCGTCCCGCGAGTTTGGGACTTGCTTGTCGAGACCCAGGCGTGGCTGTTGGGAGCTCAGAGCCCAACACAGAACCACCCTCAATGCCAGGGCTAGGCTCAGCCCTCCTGGATGTGGCCTTGGTCGCGTCCATTCTCCTGGACGCCAGACAGTGACTTGAGGCTCCATGCAGATTTGCTAAACTGGGACCAGAGTGAGAGCCCAGCAGGGAGAACGTTGGCCCGGCACGCGGCCGACCCGGGTTCGATCCCCAGCATCCCCTAGGGTCCCCCGAGCACCGCCAGGAGTCATTTCTGAGCGCAGAGCCGGGAGTCAGCCCTGAGCATTGCCGGGTGGGACCCAAGAAGCAAGAAGAGGAAGAAAATGCAATTAAGGGGAATCATAAATTGAATCTATAGTTTGTTTGAGGCCCCCTGGGCACTGGGGCGGGGGTGGGTGCGGGGGGAGGGGCACGACCCCTGCTCTGAGCTCGGCGTGGAGGGAGTGCGGGGCGCTGTGCCCACGTGTGTGTCGCTTCCCAGAAATCAGAGCAGCTGCTGTCCCGAGTCAACCTGGCTCACACCCGGGCCCAGGAGGCCCTGAGCATGGGCAACGCCACCTTCTACGAAGTCGAGGGCATCCTGAAGAACCTGCGAGGTGTGTGTGTGTGTGTGTGTGTGTGTGTGTGTCGGTGTGAGTGTGTGCGGGGGTGGGGGTGAGGGTGGGGGAGGTGTTGGTGAGCGTGTGCGTGCGCGTGTGTGTGCGCATGTGTGCGTGTTCTGTTGGTGTGCGTGCGTGTGAGTGTGCATGTGTTTGCATGTGCGTGTGTGTTGGTGTGTATGCGTGTGTGCATTGTGTGTGCTTGTGCGTGCATGTGTGTCCATGTGTGTACGCGTGTGTGGGTGTGTGTGGGTATATGCATGTGTGCGTGTATGTTGATATGCGTGCGTGTGCATGTGTGTACGTGTGTTTGCATGTTTTTTATGTATATGTGCGTGTATGTATGCATGTATGTGTATGTGCATTGTGTGTGCATGTGTGCATTGGGTGTGTGGATGTGGGTGTATGCATGTGTGTGCATGTGTGGATGTGCACGTGCATGTGCTTTCATATGTATTTCATATGTATTGGTGTGTGCGTGTGTATGCACATGTATGTGGATGCATGGTGTACGCATGTGTGTGTGCGTGTGGGGGGTGTGAATGTGGGTGTATGCATGTGTGCGCGCATGTGTGTTGGTGTGTGTGCATGTGCATGTTTGTGTGCGTGCGTGTGTTTTCATATGTATTTCATATGTATTGATGTGTGAGTGTGTGCATGTGTTGGTGTGTGCACATGTGTATGGATGCATGTGTGTACGCATGTGTGTATGCATGTGTGCATGTGTGTACATGTGTGCTCGTGTATATAGGTGCGTGTATGCACATGTCTGTGCATGTTTGTGCACATGTGTGTACATGTGTGTGTGTACATATCTGTATTGTGCATGTGTGTGAGCATGTGCGTGTGTGCACATGTCTGTATGTGTGTGCGTGTGTGTGCATGTACATGTGTGCGCGTGTGCATGTCTGTGGTGTGTGTGCGTGTGCGTGTGTGTACATGCCTGTGCGTGTGTATGTGTGCGTGTATGTGCATGTCTATGTCTGTACATGTGTGTGTGCGTGTGCATGTGTGCGTCTTTGGGAGGGACGCCCACCACGCCCACCCCTCGGATGGACTGTGACTTCCGCTCTGCCACCCCAAGGACTTTCGTTCTGTGTCCCTCCCCGCCCGCCCTTCAGAGTTCGACCTGCAGGTGGGGGACAAGAGGGCCGAGGCGGAGGAGGCGCTGCGCCGGCTGCCGCTCATCAGCCAGACGGTGGCCGCCGCCAGCGACAGGACCGAGCAGGCCGAGGTGGCCCTGGCTGGTGCCGTCACCGACACCCAGAGGGCAAAGCTGGCAGCCACCGAGGCCCTGGAGATCGCGGGCAGGATGGAACAGGTGAGTTGAGGGCCGGGCACGGAGCAGCCCCGGGCACCGCGGGGACCCGCCAGGCCGCGTTCTCCCGGGACCCGGCGCCGTCTAACCCCGCAGCTGCCTTCCGACGGGCGCCCTTTGACTGCGTCTTCCTCACTTTCAACTCCCGTTATTTGATTTTTTTGTTTTGGGCCACACCCGGCGGTGCCCAGGGCTGACTCCCGTCTCTGCACTCAGGAGTTACTTCTGGCAGTACTCGGGGGGCCCTATGGGATGCCGGGGATCGAACCCGGGTGGGCCGCATGCAAGGCAAACGCCCTATCTGTTGTGCTATTGCCCAGACCCCCGGTTCATCGCTCTTTATTGATTGATCGATTTGATTGATTGCTTTTTTGGGTCCCACCCGGCGATGCTCAGGGCTGGCTCCTGGCTCTGCACTTAGGAATCACTCCTGGCAGTGCTGGGGGGGGGGGGGGGGCTAGGGGATGCCGGGCATTGAACCAGGTCAGCCACGTGCAAGCCCATCGCCCTCCCTGCTATACTGTTGCTTGAACATTTGATACTTGCCTTGCGTGCGGCAGACCCGAGTTCGATCCCCGGCATCCCCTAGGGTCCCCCGAGCACCGCCAGGAGTGATCCCTGAGTGCAGAGCCGGGAGCCAGCCCTGAGCATCGCCGGGAGTGGCCTCACCCCTGCAAGTCTGGCCCCCCGCCCGCTGTTGTGTCTCTCCTCACACCTTCTCCCCTCCCAGGAGATGGGGAGCCTGAACTCGAAGGCCAACGTGACGGCTGACGGTGCGCTGGCATTCGAGAAGGGGCTGGCCACGCTGCGGACCGAGCTGAGGGACATGGAAGGCGCCCTGGACAGCCGGGGGCGGGCGCTAGACGCCGGGGCCGACGCCGTGCAGAGGGTGAGTCTCCTTGTCCCTCCAGCGGCGCCCCTGGGACTTGCCAGCGTGATGGGGGAGGGGTCCGGGGGAGGGGGGACTCACAGGGACCCTCACGTCTCTCTCCCGCAGGTGATGAGCGAGGCCCAGAGGGCGGAGACGAGAGCCCAAAGCGCGGGCGTCTCCGTCCAGGAGACGCTGGACGCACTGGACAGTATCCTACACCTGATAGGTAGGACTGGCTGGGCCTCATCTGGGCAGATGGCACACCCCTTCCCCTCCCCATCTCCCCAGCCGGAGATTGTCTAGAACCTTCCGGCAGGGAACCAGGTATCTGGGGCTCCTTCTGGGTATTCTCTGAACTCGCCTTGACCATCTCTAAAATGGGTTGATGGGGGCTGGAGCGATAGCACAGCGGGGAGGGCGTTTGCCTTGCACGCAGCCAACATGGCCGACCCGAGTTCGATTCCCAGCATCCCCTAGGGTCCTCCGAGCACTGCCAGGAGTAATTCCTGAGTGCATGAGCCAGGAGGAACCCCTGAGCATCACTGGGTGTGATCCACAAAGCAAAAAAAAAAAAAAAAGGTTGAAATGTTGTTGGTCGTGCCCCTTGGGGTTGGAAGTTTGTAGGTCGAAGAGCTGGTGCCGTTAGGGCCCCGGAAGAAGGTTCCGGTAGCTGCCTCCCACTTCAGCTTTGGTCACTGTTCTAGGCTGTTGCATCCTGGCTATGTGCTCAGGAATCACTTTTTTTTTTTTTTGCTTTTTGGGTTCCTCCTGGCTCTGCACTCAGGAGTTACTCCTGGCGGTGCTCAGGGGACCCTGTGGGATGCCAGGGATCGAACCCGGGTCGACCACGTGCAAGGCAAACACCCTCCCCGCTGTGCTATCACACCAGCCCCTCCAGATTCGTTCTTGGTCGAATGAAAACTTGCCTTCCGACCCCAAACCAAGAGCCATCAGCTCCAGCCTTCAGGGTCCCAGGGCCCCGGAGTCTGTCTTCCGTGCTGATTTGCTTTTAAGTCCTCAGTCGCTAACACGTAACCTGCACAAACTCAACCTCAGCGTTTGACACAAGTCAGTGCACAGCTAAGCTGCGGGCCGTGACCAAGACAAGCTCTTAAGTCACTTCCTGATGGCCGGGTCGGCCCCCAGAGACAGAGCCAAGCCGCAGATGAACCCTGAGCCCCAGGCCAGCGAGTGGCCATGGATTAACCCTAAGCCCCAGGCCAGCGAGTGGCTGTGGATTAACCCTGAGCCCAAGGCAGTGAGTGACTGTGCGACAGATCTAGTTACCGGAGAGCACAGTGAGGAGAGAGAACGGGCAGTGCAGAATCGCTCCTCAGAGTAGCAGAATCTACGTCCCTGGTGGGGCCCGAGACAGCACAGCGGGGAGGGCGCTTGTCTCGCCGTCAGCTGAATCCGGCTCATATTCCCGCCATCCCACTGGGCCCCCCAGGCTCTTGAGCACTGCTGGGTGTGGCCCCGAACCCAAACCAAACAGACAAAACCAACTATGGCATTCAGGGCCCCGAGCGATAGCCCAGAGGGGAGGGCGTTGGCCTGGCATGTGGCCGACCCGGGTTCGATCCCCGGCATCCCATAGGGTCCCCCGAGCACCGCCAGGAGTGATTCCTGAGTGCAGAGCTAGGAGGAACCCTTGAGCATCGCCGGGTGTGACGAAGGAAGGAAGGAAGGAAGGGAGAAAGAAAAGAGAGAAGAAAGAAAGAAAGAAAGAAAGAAAGAAAGAAAGAAAGAACGAAAGAAAGAAAGAAAGAAAGAAAAAGAAAGAAAGAAAGGAAGGAAGGAAGGAAGGGAGGGAGGGAGAAAGAAAAGAGAGAAGAAAGAAGGAAGGAAGAAAGAAAGAAAGAAAGAAAGAAAGAAAGAAAGAAAGAAAAAAAGGCTGAAGTGATAGCACAGCAGGGAGGGTGTTTGCCTGGCACGCGGCCGACCCGGGTTCGATCCCCAGCATCCCATAGGGTCCCCCGAGCACCGCCAGGAGAGATTCCTGAGTGCAGAGCTAGGAGGAACCCTTGAGCATCGCCGGGTGTGACGAAGGAAGGAAGGAAGGAAGGGAGGGAGGGAGGGAGGGAGGGAGGGAGGGAGGGAGAAAGAAAAGAGAGAAGAAAGAAGGAAGGAAGGAAGGAAGGAAGAAAGAAAGAAAGAAAGAAAGAAAGGCTGGAGCGATAGCACAGCAGGGAAGCCGTTGGCCTGGCACGCGGCCGACCCGGGTTCGATCCCCAGCATCCCATAGGGTCCCCCGAGCACCGCCAGGAGAGATTCCTGAGTGCAGAGCCAGGAGTAACCCCTGTGCATGGCCGGGTAGGACCCATCCTTATAGCACCCCGAGCCTAACCAGGAGTGATCCCTGAGCACAGAGCCAGGAGTCAGCCCCGAGCATCGCCGGGTGTGGCCCCAAGCAAGCAAAACGCATCGATTCTGGCCCGGAGTCTTGGCCCGAGTTTCCCGTGGGTTTGAGCGCGCGGAACATTGACTCCCCCCACGCCGCCATGTTCAGCCCCTTTCCTCCCCTCCCCCGCAAACCAGACCAGCCCGGCGGTGTGGACGAGGACGGCCTGATCCAGCTGGAGCTGAAGCTGTCCCGGGCCAAGGCCCAGGTGCAGAACCAGCTGCGGCCGCTGATGGCAGAGCTGGAGGAACGGACCCGGCGGCAGAGCGGGCAGCTGAGTTCGTTGGAGCGCAGCATCGACACGGTGCTGGCCGACGTCCGCAACCTGGAGCACATCCGGGACCACCTGCCCCCCGGCTGCTACAACACACAGGCGCTGGAGCAACACTGAGGCGACTCGCCAGATAACCCTCAGAGGGGGCCGGACGGGGCAGTCAGCAGCCCTCGAGGGGCTGACCAGATCCCTCGAGGGCTAACTGGATCAAATGACTCACCACTCAGGCAATTTACCTTCCAGGAAGTCCGTCAAGGCATAGGGGGCCGCCAAGGTGGTCCAATGGTTAGCGCACATGTTTGGCGAGTGGCCAAGCTGCACCCCAGAGGGGGTTCCCCTGAGCCCCACCAGGCGTTATCCCTGAGCTCAGAGCCAGGAGTCAGCCCTGTGGTTCCCCAACCTCCTCTCAAAATAATAATAATAATAAATAATAATAATAAAAGGGAAAAAAAGAAACGGGGTCCCAGACATGGCTATTTGGTGCTAAGTGAGCCCCCCGAGTTCTGTGAGAGTCATGGCAATTCTATTTATTTTTTAGTTTTGAAACTTGGTCCAGGCGTCCAGTTCTCCCGTAAGTCAGAGCAGGGAGGGGCCGGAGCAATAGCACAGACGGGAGGGCGTTGGCCTGGCACGCGGCTGACCCAGGTTCGATCCCCGGCATCCCCTAGGGTCCCCTGAGCACCACCAGGAGTGATCCCTTGACCCAGGTCCCCTGAGTATCTGAGTGAAGACCCCGGGGTCAGCCCTGAACATTGCCGGGTATGACCCCCCCGAAAAAAAATTCAAAATTGGGAAAGAAAGGAATAGCGACATTTTTGAATGTTGCGCAGCTCAGGACGCCTTTCTCCACCCCCGGCTCTTGGTCCGTCTTGCTCGGCTCCAGATGTTACAAGCCCCCCCACCCACGCACCCCTCCCCACCTCCCAGGGAGCACTTTGGGCTGTGGTCACACCTAGTTGACCCCGGTGTGTGACTCCATCCAGCAGTCAGCCAGTGGTCAGGGCACTCGAGCTCACCAGGGGAAATTTCTGGAAAACCCCAGAAATTTCTGGAAAAACTCAGAAGTGCCGGCAGCTGAGCCAAGAATTGGGGTACTCCCCCACCCCCTCAGTTTCCACGTTTTTTTTTTGTTGTTGTTCTTTGGAGGGACTCCCACCCAGTAGTGCTCGGGGGTGACTCCTAGCTCTGCACTCAGGGATCACTCCTAGCAGGGGACCCTATGGGATGCCGGGGATCGAACCCGGGTCGGCCGTGTGCAAGGCCAACGCCCTCCCCGCTGTGCTCTTGCTCCACTCCCCCGTGTCTCTTTAAATAAAGAACAATTCTTCTTCGGGGGCCGGAATAGCAGTTTCTAATTTATTGAACTCCTAACCTAGGGTGGACACCCCAAAGCAATGGGAAGAAAATGGCAGAGAAAAGGCAGAGTCCGACTCCATTTCTGTTTTCTGTCCCCGAGTCTGCTTGTCCAGCAGGGAGGCTGGCTGTCGGGTCGTAGCCTGCATGCCCAGGGCTCAGAGCTGGCTCTGTCTTCAGTGCTCAGGGCTGGCTCTGTGCTCAGTGCTCAGGGAGGCTCTGTGTTCAGTGCTCACTCCTGGCGGGGATCGGGGGGCCCCTCTGGGGTGCTAGGGATCTCCCCGGCCAGGCCAATGCTGGACCCACGCGCACTCTCTGGCCCTACCTTTCTCGGCCGTGAGACTCGGTCAGCTTGTAGGGGTGATCATGAGTACATTTGTCTTTTGCTTTTAACATCTGGTATCAAATAAAAATAAAATAACGTCGATGAAGAAGGCTAACCACGTCGTACTTCTTTGGGTGGGGGGTCTGATCCTGCCCTCAGAGACCCCCACTCACCCCGCCCTGACCCCCACTCTCCCTGCTTTACCTTCCGTGGGAGTCTTGGCACCAACCTCCCTGGGCAACCTTGGTCTCACATTCCACCAACCACCCAGGAAAACACGGGGACGAATTCGGTTCTTTTTTTTTTTTTCTGCTTTTTGGGTCACACCCGGCGATGCTCAGGGCTGACTCCTGGCTCTGCACTCAGGAATCACTCCTGGCAGTGCTCAGGGGACCATATAGGATGCTGGGAATCAAACTCGAGTGGGCCGCGTGCCAGGCAAACGCCCTCTCTGCTGTGCTATCACTCCAGCCCCACGAATTTGGTTCTTATTGAATTAACTTGCGGTATCCCAAGCTGGAGAGAGAATACAGTGGCCAAGACCCGGGTTCGATCCTGGGTTCTGACCCCAGGAGGGGTCAGAATCCGGAGTGATCCCTGAGCATCGCCGGGGATGGTGGCAAAACCAAACAGAAAGAGTTTTTCTATCACCATGTTTCGTTCGAGAGGGGAGGACACTCGCCTTGCATGCGGCTGACCCGGGTTCGATCCCCGGCATCCCATAGGGTCTCCCAAGCACCGCCAGGAGTGATCCCTGAGTGCAGAGCCAGGAGTCAGCCCTGAGCATTGCTGGGGATGGCCCCAAATAAACCCACAATAAAAGGGAAGTGAGGGTTAGACACCCAGGATATCTTCGGAATATATCACTCTAGCCCCATCCTTGCCTGTTGAAGTATTTCACTTCTGTTTAGCTCCAGGATTTATTTTTTTTTCCATTTATTTTGGGACCACAAGCAGCAGTGCTCAGGGCTCACTCCTGGCAGGGAACCCTATACCAGGAATTGAACCCTCAAACCCAAGTCGGCCACATGCAAGGCCAGCACCCGCCTCCTCGGTCCCATCGCTCCAGTCCCTAGATTTGTTTTCCATTTTTGTTTTGAGGCCACGCCAGCGGTGCTCAGGGCTTCCTTGTAGTTCTGCGCTCAGGAATCACTCCTGGCGGTGATCGAGGGACCCTATGGGATGCCAGGGATCGAACCCGGGTCGGCCGCGTGCCAGGCCAACGCCCTCCCCGCTGTGCTATTGCTCCAGCCCAGGAGTCAGACTGGGCGTGAACACAAACTTGCTCCTTTTCCTGGACTATTTTGACACCTGGCGTTGCTGGTAGGTTAGAGTTCAGAGTATCAGAGTTAGGGCTTGGCAGGACGGGGCCCCTGAATCAGGAGTGGATGTTAGGAGACAGGGCGGCTTCGAAACCGTCCTTCTGGGTTGGAGCAATAGCACAGTGGGGGAGGGCGTATTCCTGGCACGCGGCCAACCCGGATTCGATTCCCAACATTCCATTGGGTCACCTGAGCACCACCAGGAGTGAATCCTGAGTGCAGAGCCGGGAGTCAGCCCTGAGCATCGCTGCGTGGGACCCAAAAAGCAATCAATCAATCAATCAATCAATCAATAAAGAGTGATGAACCAGGGACCTGGGCAATAGCACAGCAGGTAGGGCGTTTGCCTTGCACACAGCCAACCTGGGTTCGATCCCCGGCATCCCATAGGGTCCCCTGAGCACCACCAGGAGTAATTCCTGAGTGCATGAGCCAGGAGTAAGCCCTGTGCATAGCCGGGTGTGACCCAAACAGCCAAAGAAAGAAAGAAAGAAAGAAAGAAAGAAAGAAAGAAGGAAACTGCCCTTCGTTCAAACCACAAGGCCTATGGCTGGAGTCACTGAAGGATGCGGGTATTTTTTATGGTCCCCTGGGGAGGCTGGAAAATGTGGGGGATGGCCACTGTTTGGAGCGGTTTCAAGGACATTAGTATATTTATCGTGTTCTTTTTGGGGTTTGGCAGAGCTATGGGGATAACTCAGGACTCAGGCTGGGATCCACTTTTTTTTCCACCTGGAAAGCACAGCTGGAAACCTCTCTTGGCCATGGAAAAATAAAAAGAGAAAAAAAAAAGAAAAATATACATAGGAATTCTGTTTGAGAGCCACACCTGGAGATGCTCAGGGCTGACTCCTGGCTCTGCACTCAGGGATCACTCCTGGCAGTGCTTGGGGGACCCCAGGGGATGCCGAGGTCGAACCCAGGTCAGCTGCATGCAAGGCCAACACCCTTCCTGCTGTGCTATTGCTCCAGTCCCCCAAAAGTATAGATAAAATTTTTAATACGGGGGCTGGAGCAATAGCACAGCGGGTAGGGCGTTTGCCTTGCATGCGGCCAACCCGGGTTCAAATCCCAGCATCCCATATAGTCCCCAGAGCACCGCCAGGAGTAATTCCTGAGTGCAAAGCCAGGAGTAACCCCTGATCATCGCCAGGTGTGACTCAAAAAGAAAAAAAAAAAAGAATTTTTAATACGATTGGCCATGCAGATGTTTGCAAGGAAACTGTTTACTTAGGGGATACAAGAAAAGGGACCAGAGGGGCCAGAGCGATAGCACAGTGGGGAGGGCACTTGCCTGGCACGCAGCCGACCCGGGTTCGATCCCCAGCATCCCATAGGGTCCCCCGAGCACCGCCAGGAGTGATTCCTGGGTGCAGAGCCAGGAGTCAGCCCTGAGCATCGCTGGGTGGGACCCAAAATGCAAAATTTTTTTTTTAAAAAGGGGGATTGGAGTAATAAGGATGATAATAGTGCAGGGGGCTTGAATGTGGCAAGCTAGGTTTAACCCTGGGGTCCCATATGTTCCCCTGAGCCCACCAGGAGTGATTCCCAAGCCAGGAGTAAATCCAACCCCCAACCGACACCCTTTCCCCCCCCCAAAAAAAAAGAGGAAACGTGTTTGCATGTTCTAATTTAGTTCGTGACTCAAGTTCGTCTAAGATCGGGCGTGAAACCAGTGTTTATACCTGATTTTAAACAAGTACTCGGGGCGAGGGGTGGCGGGCACTAATGTTTGGCTTTGGATCCGAAATAACCTGCGTAAATACAATCAATTTATGAGATGTCTCACGCATCACTTTTGCATGTGTCACCGAGCTACGTGGGTCTACAGAAAACCAGGTGGTTCCACTCTTTCAAACAGCACTTTTGAAAGAAGACATACTCAAAGGCAAAAAAGATTTCACACACACACACACACACACACACACACACACACACACACGAACTATGACCATAAAAGTAACTAGGGGTGCCAGGAGGTAGTAGTCCAGGCTTTAAGATATTTTTGGGGGGTCCCACCCAGCGATGCTCAGGGCTGACTCCTGGCTCTGCTCTCAGGGATCACTCCTGGCGGTGCTCGGGGGACCCTATGGGATGCCGGGGATTGAACCCGGGTTGGCCATGTGCGAGGCAAACGCCCTCCCTGCTGTGCTATCACTCCAGCCCCTGTGCTGTGTTACCTTAGGTATTTGCCTGGCATGTGGCCAATCCGGGTTCGAT